GAAAAAAATGAACCTGGACAGGGATAATGTGGGAGAATACTATGAAGAAACCAGGTTGTGTCCATTGGTGTGAATCTGTACAGTAAAACAATGAATATATGTTAATATATAATTAATATGAAGTTAATTCATCATGTAGAAGGAAACAGAAACGTGATCTTTACAGGTCATTTTACGTGAAATCCTCCTTGAGGCAACGTGTTAATATGCAGGAAATCTCTTACAGCATCAGGGGAATCCGTTTTGATCTGGCCGTGGTTTCTGGCTTAGTTCGTAATCTTTGCTTCAAAAGAAATAGCCATTCCACTTCAACAGAGACTATACCCTTTCCTTTCCTTTCCTTTCCTTTCCTTTTTTTTTTTAAACAATCTATGGCGATAGCCCTTTTGAGGTATTTTTACCATCAAGGACAATTGTTTACAAGAATGCTGGTAATTTCATAAGTTGTTTGGTAAAACAAACCCCATTTTTTAATTATCAAGTAAATACCGGAACATGTTTTATATGGGTTGAACTTCCAGAAATTAAACATTCTATAATAGAAGATGCCTACAATTCTTCTAAATGAAACCTTTCTAAATCCTTCCTGGTGCTTAATTTTCTATGAAATGCGTGAGTATGTCATTTGAGCAGGGAAAAATCATTGTGGGCATGGTTTTAAAATAAACGAAGATGAAAACCATACGCATTTCATTTAACACATGTGAAATAGAGCGATGCTGTGTAAACTGCTATTCCCCCTCAAGATATGATTTATAAATCTGCCTTGCCAAAGGCTAGTTGTATGTAAACTGATGTATAAACCACATTGGATTCATCCATACACCTGAATTAACTTACAGCTCATAGCGTATGTACCTCATTCATATATTATTGAAGAAGTGAATGTTTGGTGGTCAGCACTTAATGAATACTAGGCAATTAGAATCCAGCAAGATAAAACTAATTTGGATTTTGCTTTTTTCCCCTGAAGTATAAATAGCATCTCAGATTGTTGTTTCAAACGTCAGGAACAAGTTCTGGCTTATAGTTAACAATCAAACTGTGACTGGCTCTGGTCAGTGCAGAATTTTATATCTGTTTGTATATGTTCATATTTATATATATATATATTTGTGTGTGTATGTGTATTAATGTAAAATATGTATTTATACACTTCCGGCTGCTAAAGATGGCCTCTGTATGTCCTAAATTTCTTAATACGGCAGCAATGTAAAGGTTGTACAAGGCTTTACTTTATATATTTTCCAGCACAGAAAAGTGCATCTCTTGAAAGCATCTTAAACAAACGAGATTGTGCCAGCCAAGGCACTGTCTGTTCTGTTGTGGTCATAAAATAGCAATAGTCTTTTGTAATTTATTTTGTAAATAGGAGTTTGGGAGTGGGACCCCTCTATTGCAAAATTGTCCTAGAAGGAAGTATACAATTATGATGCATCCACAGGCCTTCATCATCATTAACACAAACAGACACACAAACACACCCCTTCCTCTGTCGGTGGCCCTAGCTTGGGATACTGCCAAACAATAAATGACTTTTCTTGCATAGACTTAATAAATTGGTTTATTGCTTCTCTGGCTCAAGTGAGAGAAGTTATTACGGGGAACGAAAACCACAGAGAAAGCCCTTATATTAGAGGCTGTCTCTTTTTACATTGTCCCTGACAATGCCTTTTCCTTGTTCATGTGGTTGTACATATACCATTGCACTTTAATATGACCCACGTTTCAATTTTCTACTGCTGTTGTAAATTACAATTACAGAATCTGATGTCTTTATTGTATATGTATGAAACTTGAATAAAATTCAGCATTTCTTGCTGGGTCTCCTCAACATGATGACGATGTCTATTTTGTGTTGAGTGTGTTAACACGGTACCACAGTGTGTCGGAAGTTGATGCAGCAAATCTTAAGGTAGGAATCCTATGTACAAGAAGCTGGCGTAAAGCAAAGCATTTGTAAATAAAGCCAGCAGAAAGCTACACCAGATCCAAACCCCACTCAGCTTAGGCTTTTGCCTAAGCCTAACAATAATATTCTGTGTTGAGTTGCCGGATCATGTGACTGAGCCGAACTGGTTCAGGATCCAACCTAAATCCTCCCTTTCTGGTCCCAACTCCAGACCCCAGATTCTTTGCTTAGCACCAGCATAGCTCTGGCTGAGAAAGAGATCCTCAGCTTCTCAATCTGGCAGATCTTTCCATGGGAGTGCCCCTTAAAGTGTGCCTGTTTAAAAATATATATATATTTGTGTGCGCTGGGCATTCTAAACACTAGCAGTAATATCCCTATCCCAGAAAAACTTTGGGGTTGCTTTTTGTTGTGAAAGATACCAAGTCATTGAATTTGCTAAAGTGTACGTTGCAGATGGAAAGGGACTTGATGGATAGCAATGGGGAGACTATTGAAGGCAGTGCTTCTTTTCTGCGGGTACGCATACCCCTATAACATTTTGTGGATCTAAGTTGGCCTCATTGAGGGGCAGTATTTCAATATGAGTAGGAAAGTGAGAGTACCCCTAAACATTTTTTTAGAAAAAAAACCACTGTTTGCAGACATCAGGCGAAATTATTTCAAGTCTTAACTTCTAACCAATATCAATGTGTTTTAACAAATTCTGGCAGAAAAGGTTCTAAATAATAAGGGGGGTTTCCCTTTCATGCACATCCTCTACCTCAGCTTGGGTTGACGATTCAATACTATTCAAATGGCATTCTTGCAGACCAGCAATGAGCGCAAACAGAGCGCAAATATGTCTCTTGCAAAGGGCTGAGGTTAGCCTCACTCAGATGGCTCTCTTCATCCCAAGCTGCCTGTTTAAGGGCAGCCATAAGCTCTCTATTGCAGCTTTTAAATGGCTTTTGCACATTGAACATGGAAAGGATGCAAACATTTAGCTAGTGGGTCAGTTTGGTTTTCTGTCTGCCCGGTAATCTTAGGCCAAGTAGCGACTAGTGCTGGGTGTTTAAGAGGAAATGCTTCTAATTTGTGGCCATCCTACTTTCAGCAATCTGCGTTGCTGGAACATGCAGGAAGGCATCTTAACTGACCCATTTTCATTGGCAGCCATGGAGTGGGGGGGGGGAGACTGGCTTAGGCTCTGAAGGCAGCCCTGTATAGGGAAGTTTTTTTATGTTTGATGTTTTACTGTGTTTGATGTTTTGATTTGCTGGAAGCCAGCCAGAGTGGCTGGGGCAACCCAGTCAGATGGGCAGCATATAAAAAATGAAATTGTTGTTGTTATGGCAGTCGGCAAGGAGAAGGTATAGTATGCTGTTTTCCAGATTTAAATGCCCCTCTGCTGCTGTTCTGTCAAACCAGCAGTGGTTTTTCCTGATAGGCTACACAACTGTATCTGTTTTAATAGGGGAAATGACATGATCTGATTATTATTACTACTTTTAATAAATAAAAACTGTCAGCATATTGTTATCCCAATCCAGTTCATGTTCTATCGGGAGACCTTAATTGCATATTGTTCGCATGGAATTTAATTTGGTCCTTGAAGACCAAAGAGGGGAGAGGAAGTGGTTTGCAACCTGCATAGACTTCTGCCATCATCTCTATAATATCATCTCAGATGAAGAAAAAACAATGACCACTGCCACTATAACATTTCTCAATTCTCTTAACCTACGGTCTCCGAAAGTTCCTCTCGTCTCCTCTCTTGCAGAAATTCCCTCCCTCCCACTTCCTTTGTGCATTGTATTTTTCACCACCAATATCACAGACTAAACCCACAGTATTCTGCCACTGTATCCCAAGTTACTGCAGTACATTATAGAACTCCTATGTTGAGGCATGTTCATATTACCACTTGTTCCACATCCAATGCGCTCTCACTGCTAGTTTTTGGAAACCGCATTCACATAGCATTAGTCACAATTCATATCGATCCTGTCGTTTCTTGACAAATGCTGCTGTTTGGTGGATTTTTCTCTTGCACCAACTTCAATCTGACTGGATGTTAAGTAAGTGGTAATGTGGACATTTGAGGCAGCCATCACAGCTTGTGCAGATCACAGCTTCATGGATAAGAGTTGGCAGGGGGGTTGCAGGGTGCAGACCCCCCCCCCAAACGTGTGTGTGGTGAAGAAATCCCCCCTCCACCTCTTGATGTGAACAATTCTGTGCTAATCTGTCTGGAAACACAGTGGAGAAGAATAACCTCACTTCATTTTAAGCCACTGTTGTCAACATAACCTTGCACTTCTGTAGCTATCTCCTGCACGTTACAAATACGCTCCTTGTCCCAACTTTTGTAAGTGTAGCCATGTTAATCTGTTTAGCAGCAAAATCAGCAAGGTACCGAAGCATCTTGAAGACAAGCGGATGAAAGATTGCATAACCTTTTGTGGACTAAAGTTAACTTCATTTGGGGGGGTGGGGGGTGGGAAGATACTCCTGGTACCAGACAACCAAAGCATAGTCTGTACTTAACATTGCCTGGTGCAAGGAATGTATTTCGTACCTACCAGGAATAGGAATTTGAGATAAGGAAAGGCCAGTTCATACTGTCCACCTAGAAAATTCCAGTAGTAGAATGGAAACATTCTTTGGTTTATGCTTCATTACAGCTGTAGAACAAGTCTAAGGATTAATCAATCATTTGATAAAATCAAAGTGCATAGTTATTACGGGGTTTGTGTTAGAGGATCTGGAGTGAATACAAAAAAAACCCCAAGCGTCTATGTTTTCCAGGGACAGTGCCAGATTTACAGAAGCTGTCTCTGATTTGATCCCATAATGTCCCACTTTTCCTTAGGATGTCCCTATATTCATCAGAGAAATGTTGGAGGGTATGGAGTTATGTGACACACACCCCCTGACATAACAGCCCTGTATAGGGAAGGTTTTTTAATGTTCTATTATGTTTTTATATATGTTGGAAACCGCCCCAAGTGACTGGGGCAACCCAGTCAGATGTGTGGGATATTATTATTATTATTATTATTATTATAATTTATATTATTGAATAGGACATTTCTACTTCCATCAGAGAAATGTTGGAGCATATGTCATCATCACAAAATTGCAAGGTTCAAAAATACTGTTCAGGTAGGTCCCCCACATCTGACCACCAAGAAAGACATGTCGATGACCCAATTCGTTATAATGGTGATACAGAAAAGCAAGCACAAATTGGGATTGTTTGTATTATTGGCAGCCCCTCATTCCTTCCTAGATTAAGGCGACAGCATGCACCAAGGTCAGTGCCAGACCCTGTTGAAAATGGGCTCCCCAAAATTCACCGTCCTATTTATGAGCGGCAAAATGAGGGAGGCGGTGAAGATTCTCCAAATATTCCTGGGGGAGGGACGGGTGGCAGAATTATCCCAACAGTTTGACTGAAAAAAAGAAATTTCTCCACACACACAAAAGCACCTCTTAGTGAAACTTTATCATTAGTTTGTAGCAGAGGACAAAGGAAGCTTATGGCCTAAGAAAGGACTGGAAGGAGTAAGGCCAAATATGGGAAGGGAAGCAGAGTTGCCCTCGTGAGGCGCACCCTTTTTGTCCATTTCTTAACAGACCTGCCCAACCCCTTCCACGCGCTAGGGCTTGCTTGTTTTATCCTGTGGGGAGCCTACACTGGCAGAGCAGACTCCCCACTGCAAAAGCTTGGCCCCATTGAATGTGGGGCAGCAGGGCCAGGCCCCTGGGAGTGCTGTGGAGAGGACAAGGTGAAGGAGCCACTCTTCCCCTTCACAAGAAGGGGACATGACTGGGCCGGAGCTGGAGTCCCACCCAAATCTGGAGTGTTTTTGGTAGAGACATGTGAGAGGCCTTCTCAGGGCTGTATACCATACTTTCTGTGGGGAGGCCACATGCTTGCTTTCCTTTTGTGAGGAGGCTTGTTTTATCTTTCGCATTTGCCGCCTAAGAGGTTTTAACGGTTTGGTGTCCTGCGATTTTCTTAAGGCTCTTCAAATTTTACTTTACGCACAGTGCCAGATTACCAAATAGGCCCTGCGATCAAATGCATCAAAACAATAACTGATTTGATCCCGAGAGGAAAATGCAATTGAGTACAGTGGTACCTCGGGTTACATACACTTCAGGTTACATACGCTTCAGGTTACAGACTCTGCTTACCCAGAAATAGTACCTCAGGTTAAGAACTTTGCTTCAGGATAAGAACAGAAATCGTGCTCCGGCGGCGTGGCAGCAGCAGGAGTCCCCATTAGCTAAAGTGGTGCTTCAGGTTAAGAACAATTTCAGATTAAGAACGGACCTCCGGAACGAATTAAGTACGTAACCAGAGGTACCACTGTATTAGGCTATATATTCAACTTCCTAGTATTTAGTTCCAGCACGGTTTACACACTTTTGATACTTTTATTTTCTTCATTGTGTTTCGCTGGTTCTGTTGTCAGCTGGCTTTCACACTGTGTAGAAAAGCAGGCCTCTACTCAGGGGTAGGAAACCTCATGGTCAGAGGCTCAATTCAGCTGTCCAGGACACAGCCCTCAGCCCTCTTCCTAGGGCATTCATTCCCCTTCCCGATCCACACACCCTTTTCCCAGGCGAAAACCCTCAGTGGTCGGGCTCTGCAGTCTCCTCAACTGCTTTTTTTCTGGCTGGAATGTGTCCTCGAACTATGACAAAACCTCTTTTTGGAGGAATGAGAGATACGTATGGGATGTTCGCGTATGTAGAAATATATTGGCTTTTTGGTGTGCAAAGGCAAGAGTCACACCTGTTGCTCCACAACATTTGCCCCTCTCCCCACTTTTCACCAACATGTGGCCCCCAGGAGGTTTCTGATGAGGGACGGCGGCCCTTGGGATGAAAAAAGTTCCCCCACCCCTGGCATAAACAGAAATAAATAAACTTAAATCTGATCTTTCTTGTTTGTTCAGCTTTCCGCCCATGAAAATTGGTTTGTTACGGCTTCAGTTTTCTCTCTTCCAGTGTTTCTGTTCCCCCTCCTATGAATGGAGCAATTGCAGCAGAACTTTGGTCACCGCGATCTTGCTGAAATATCAGCACACAATTTGGGACACAAGCATTTTGGTTTCATCATGATTTCCTGTCACTTCAACATTCTGTTTTTCTTCCTTTTCCTGGTGTATCCGCTTTCACTGGCTGCAGGTATGACTCACGAAAATCTGTCATAATGTATAAACTTGAAATGTTTCCTTTTCTTGTAATTTTCTAATTGAAAGTGCAGGGCAATTTTGAGAAAGGATTCAAAGGCTTCTAAAGCTTCCTAAAACCAAACTGTTTTGTGTGACACAGCTGCTCATGTGATTACCATAATGATTTAGAAAAATCTGCTGCTAAGCTTAATGGTTAACCAAATTCCCCAGTGCCTCACAGATAGATCAAAAACCAGGTTTTAAACTGAGAGGTCAAAAAAGCAGCAAATCTGAGCAACTATTTTTTATGTATTTCTAAAACCACCATTATCAATTATTGCTTCCATGTAGTTTTCTCTTTGTTGGCTGGTGTTTTTGTTTTGTTTAAACGGAACCTGTAGAATAATATCATGAAGAGAAAAACCTATTATCACTGTGTTGTCTCCACATTTAAGAATTCAGAATTTTACCAGTAATTACTGAAAGGGGGTTTTTTTTTGGGGGGGGGAGCAAATTTTCTGGCATTCCCAAAGCTAAAGAGGAAGGGCCGTAATAACAAAAAATTGTGATTCTTTACATTTTGTGAATTATTAGTAAACAGGTTGTGTGAACTATCCGTTGGTTCAAGTAAGTGATGTGTGAGTCTAGCTATAGACTAATCTTTTACAATCCTAATCTGTAATTATTTAAATTTATATATTATTTGTGATACACATCATTTGAAAATAGAGGTTAAGTTATTCTTTACTGGAAGGATAAAATGTGACTAAAGCTAGACATGGTAAATATTTGTTCCAGAGTTTAGTTACTAAACTTTTTGGAAAAAAAGAAAATTCCTTCCAGTAGCACCTTAAAGACCAACTAAGTTAGTTCTTGGTATGAGCTTTCGTGTGCATGCACACTGGAAGGAATTTTCTTTGTTTTGACTATGGCAGACCAACACGGTTACCTATCTGTAAGAAGAAGTGTGCATGCACACGAAAGCTCATACCAAGAACTAACTTAGTTGGTCTTTAAGGTGCTACTGGAAGGAATTTTCTTTGTTTTGACTATGGCAGACCAACACGGCTACCTATCTGTAACTTAAACTTTTTGAATGCAACATAACAGGAATAATATTTCTTTATAGAGTCAGCTCGTTATTTGACACAGAGTCAGCTTTCAGAGTGCACATTCTTTGTCAGACAGATGTTTGTTTAGGGGGAAAGAAAAAGAAACCTTATGAAATATAGACATGTTGGGTTGTATCCAACAAGTCATACTCAGAGTAGACCTACTGAAATACAGGGACGACTTACTTAAGTCCATTTATTTTTGTGGGGCTACTATGAGAATGGCTTAGTTAACTATCAGTCCCCACTATATTTAAGCCCGCAATTCATGACTTCGAATTAATGAAGTAAATTTGAACACTTGCACTCAAGTAAGGGGCTAATCTTAAAAAGATAGACTGGGGGGGAGGGAACTGCATGTTCACAAAAATGCACATGCCTTTTAATTAACAGTTGTTTGGATGCAAGGAACTATGCAGTCAACTTTGTTAATTTTAATTATATTTCTTGAATGTTTCATGGAAACTGCATTCGAATCTGATGGAGAGCAAGGAGTAGTTTCTCTGTGGGCTGGACAGAGAGGGTTGTTCTGTATCTCAAACGAAAAGAATTACAATGCCCCATGACACAATGAACAGTGAAGTATCTTTCTGGCTTGAAGCATTTCTACTAGGACTGTGCTAAGTATTCCTCAATTTTGACGTTTATTTTGAAATTGCTCAAAACAAATTTCACCTACACTGCCCTCAGCCTCATTTCCCCTCACAACTATTTCACCTGGTTGGTTGTGGTGATCACATGATGTGTATGAGCAGGGCTTATTTCAGTCAGAATGCCCCCAACAGTCAGGGGAGAGACCAGACCAGCCTCATCAAACCCCTGCTGTGCCTCTGGCTCACAAGGAGTCCGAAGGGGACATCCTCTACAGGGATCCAAAGAGGGTCTCCTTGTGAACCAGAGGTGTAGCAGGGCTTTTCTGAGGCTCTTCAGCCCCCAACTAACTGCTGACGTGTGGGAAAGCTGTGCCTCAGCTGAGCAAGCCCCCAGATGCTCTGGCTCATGTGAGCCCGAGAGGCACGATGGGGGCTCATTAAGTTGCTCATCTGAGGCATGAAAAGTTCCCCCCGCCTCAGCTGAGCAGCCTCAACAAGCCTCTGCCTGCAGAGGAGACACACACATACACACCCAGCCTGAAGAGATCATCTTTGGGCTCTGGGGTGGGTCTTCTGGGGGAGGCACATTCCTGCACCTTTTTGTCTTGGAAAAAAAGCACAGTTTACCAACATAGATTTATGATGCCATTGACAAAAGTCATGTGGATTGCTATTGCCAGTAAGGTGAAATAGCAGTGAAGGCAAATGAGGGCAAGAAGGAATTGTTGGGCTGAGAAACGGCAACCTGGAGACCAGGGGACACTGATCCACACAAAACCCCCCACAGAATGAATTTTATACTCTCCAAAATGGACATAAAATACAGTAATCTCGGTTTAGTTCCATTCCCTGCTTTCCTCGGCTGTGGAGATATCCCTAATAACTGTGGTTTGCGAAGGCAGAAAGCCAATGATTTTGTTTGTTTGTTTTTTAAGTCTTCTTAAAGCATGAGGAAGCAAGCAATGTGCTACAAAGGAGTAAGAGAGCCAACACCATCTTTGAAGAGTTGAAAGTGGGATCACTGGAACGAGAATGCATGGAAGAGAAATGTTCATTTGAGGAAGCCAGAGAAATCTACAAAGATAGTGAAAGGACTGTAAGTAATGTGAAGTAATAGAAGGGCATCTTCCCATTTTGATGACTTTTGCCAAATCTGTATTAGAAGCAATGGTTTATAACAAAGTGAACCATGGTTTGACATTACATGAGTAACCACTGGCTTCATGCCTTTCCTCCCTAATCCCCTTGCTCACTCCCAATTCCCTCCCAAATCCAAACCAGCAAAATGTGGGTTGTGCTCACCCTCCAAACCAGAACTGCAGACCCTGATTGCAAGTACAAAGTGTAGCTTGCCAATTTGAATGTGATTTGCAACTTCTTGTTTGGTGGAGAATTTGCCAGTTCTGATACTATATAATAGCAAAATGGTTCAGTCTGGTTCTTGTGTCTGGTAAAATACCTGTTCTGCCTTTGGTGAGAGAATGGGATTTGGGAGATTACTTGTTTTAAATGCATTAGTGGGAGTTGATAGATCTGTGATTCTTCAGGCTTTGCCAGGACTTGGGGATAGATCTCTGCAGTGCATCATATCTCTTGTACAAACACACGTAAATGTAATAAATGTACATACAGTACATGAACAACATGTGGTGTTCAACATACCATTTCCTATGTTGCATCTGATAGGACTCAATTTGAAATATTTGGTGCGGCATTTGTAATTTCCTTGGAAACGTTAAGCGAAAGAACACGCCCAATTGGCTTTTGCATCACCAAAGAGGAACCTATTGCAGGTGAAATTAACAGAGCAGACAGAAAAGCCCCATCTGTGATATTGGGGAGTGTCTGAGTGGGATCAGCCAATTTAAGAAGCAATTCTGGTTCAAAAAAGGGAAGTTACAAGTAAACCCAGAAGTTAATATTTTGAAGGTTATCATGATAGTAGATGACTTTTCCCAAACTGTTATAGTGTAGATGCTGTTTTACTTAGATATTGATGTTTTTATGCTCATTTTGATTATTTCTCCTGTATCTCTGTCCTTTTCTACTTAGATGGAATTCTGGAAACAATACACAGGTAAGCTGACTCATGCTAATAGAAAATTTGCTATTGGAGCTCTTCCTAGAATTTTTGCTGACACTTGAGTGTTTTCATAGATGCTAATGAGTGTGACTCCAACCCTTGTCAGAATGGTGGGACTTGTCATGATGAGTACCAGAAGTACAATTGTTACTGTCCTGAAGATTATGAGGGCAGAAACTGTGAAATTGGTAAGATATTCCTATCATCTATCTATCTATCTATCTATCTATCTATCTATCATCTATCTATCTATCTATCTTATCTCTATAACATTTAGAATATAATTCTGCAGGACTTTTGCAAGGCATTTGGTGAATTAATATGTTCTCATATATTTAGGCCCAGAAGCCAGACTGAAGTGCATTTATGACAACGGCAACTGTGAGCATTATTGCATCGATATCCCAAATGCAGTACGACAGTGTTTCTGTGCAGAGGGATATAGGCTGGGAAGTGATAAAGAATCTTGTATCCCAGAAGGTAAGGTATAGAACACATCACCACACTAGTTGTATTTCAGGTTACATCCATGGCCTGATAGATGCCAGAGAATATTTAAAAACCTTTTTTAAAAAATCTGGCAATTTTAATTTAAAATAAAACGGTAGGCTAAAATATTATGGCAGAAAAAAAGATTCCATGCTATTCCCCATTCAGATAAAATTGTTCTTTCCCACTTAGCAGTTGCATCTTTACCAGCATATAAACTGAAATATTTACTTTAGGGCTTCAAATACTAATCCAGCTAAACCAATTTTAACGTCATTGGCCCAGGATCTAACTACTGGCAGTGCAAAGAAAATGCTTTATGCTGAGTCAGACCATTGGTTCACATAGCTCAATAGTGTCCACACAGACTGGCAGCAGCTCTCCAGGATTTCAGATGGGCCTTTCTCCTTCCTGGAAATATTGGGGATTAAACTTGGCAGATGCTCTACTGTCCTGTTCTCCATTTTCAGTAATGATACTGCATGGATACGAACGTATATCTGTCATGCCGCAGCAGTACAGGGTCATCAACTTGTGGCTGGCTGGAGTGCAGATTGTGACTTTGATGGGATATATGCATCAGTTTCAGTCCAACTACTCCTGCTTAACTGGTTTGTTGACTAGGCCAGATGTGACTGTAACAGCCTGTTGGGAATGAGGCACAGAAATTAAAAAAAGAATTGCATGTCACACTCTTTGAATGCTTTCAATCAGTGGATTTAAAGGATTTCACAATACAAAACTCTCACCTGAGAATGAGCTTTTTAAATAGGAAAGGTGAAGGTAAAGGGACCCCTGACCATTAAGTCCAGTTGCAAACGACTCTGGGGTTGCAGTGCTTATCTTGCTTTACAGGCCGAGGGAGCTGGCATTTGTCCACTTCTGCAGACAGTTTTTCCAGGTCATGTGGCCAGCATACTGATGAAACCAGAGCAGAACATGGAAACGCCGATTACTGCCAGAGCAGTACCTGTTTATCTACTTGCACTGTGTGCTTTTGAACTGCTAGGTTGGCAGGAGCTGGGACCAAACAACGGGAGCTCACCCCGTTGCAGGGATTCGAACCGCCGACCTTTCGAACGGCAAGCCCAAGTGGCACAGTGGTTTAACCCACAGCGCCACCCACGTCCCATGTTTTTCATAGTAGTTAATAACAGAAGATTGGAAAGTTGCGCTTAAAAACATGGTCACAGTCTTATAGTCTGAAAGCTCAACTGTATGTTTCAAAATATTATTTACTGGTGTTTCGTGATACAGACCAAACTCAGAAGTGGGGAAGGGCTCATATCACGTTTCATGCATAACAAAAGCTACATCTTTTTGCAGTTGATTATCCTTGTGGGAAAATACCACTTCTGGCCAAAAAAAGGGAGGACCGACAGGGAAGAATCGTAGGTGGTTATACCTGTCCTCCAGGTGAATGCCCATGGCAAGTGAGTCTTCAAATAACTTTAGTACAATTCTCTGTCTGTCATGTTTCTTGTAAAGGGTTTTGCAGTGATGGTTGTTGTATTTTCAGGCTCTCATGATAGAAGGTCAAAGGCAGAGGTGTGGAGGTGTTCTGATTGCTCCATCATGGGTAGTTACTGCAGCCCACTGCTTCTCACAAACACGCCGCGAAACACTCAGGATAAAGCTGGGTGAGTACAGTCCTCAATGGAATTGAGAAGATAAACTTAGTAAAGAGAGGTTTGTAATTATGCTGTGCTGAAACTACATAGAGCTTGATCCGTATGGTTGGACAGTTGGAACAAGCTTCCCTGGTAAAGTGTGGAGAACGAGGTACAAGGTTTTAAAAAACAAAACAAAATAAACATTATTGAGTGCTATGCCATGCAGGGAGATCAAATGGCCAATAACTGGATCACTAGATATGTAGATCAAGTAAGACTGTCAGCATAAATAATTGGACATCAGAATCTGATCATCAGTGTGACACATTCCGCTTCTAGAAACACAGCCTGTAATATGAATCCATCCATCTGTGAGGAGACCAGGGCATTCCATTATGCCCTTCCTTTCCTTGACTTAACATCCAAACTCTCAGTAAAGTAGCTTAAACTAAATAAAATATTATGCAGGTAGAATGCCAGCAGGGGCATCAAGGTTCCTGGCTCCCTGGGAATGTATTTGTTCCATTGAGACCAAAGTGGCAGACCTGGAAAAGCTAAAAGATGCAGAGAATCTGGCAGATAAGGCCTTCAGGGATGTTACAGCTGTGTCCCATTCCCACAGTGATAGGTCCCCTGCTGTCAGGGAGTATGAGGTCCCAGGGAAGGAAATAATTGCCCTGGGGAAGAGTACCTGCTGGAGGTTCAATAATGGGAAATTATTCTGCCATGCAACAAGAAAATAATCGAAAACATAACCATTAATGACCATGCAGTGCTTCCAGACAACCTGTTTGTTGAGAGGTCATCCTGATTTGTTTCCAGGGAGATTAGACAGTGTTGGCTACAGAATAACAAATTATTCTGAATAGTTTGCATGGAAATTGGATGATGCATCAAAACTAACGTTATTCCACACATTCCAGCACATTTTCCTTTCGCTTTACAAAATGTCCAGTCTTGTGAAAGTGGGTTCTTTGATGCAAAACCTCCCAATCAACTATAATTGCACAACCTACGGTAAATTTGCCAGTGTGTGACCCCAAAATAAGGACAATCTTTGTGCTATTAATCCTCTCTGAATATGAGCCTAAAGACCTGGCTCAACTCTGAGATCTGTGCTGTTAAGAAACCTGATACCTGTTGCTTAACAAATGTTTCTGCTTTTCCAGGTAAATACAGGATAGACCAGGAAGAAGAAGGTGAACAGGAAAGAAGAGTTGCTAAAATCATAATCCATGAAAAGTATTCTCCCAAAAAAGTTGAAAATGACATTGCCTTGTTGCAGTTAGCGACACCTGTCAATTTCACAGATTACGTGGTGCCCATATGCTTGCCTCAGCAGCGGTTTGCTGCAGATGTGCTGAGCTTCATTGAATACTCCACAGTGAGTGGATGGGGGCGTCTCTTAGAAGGCGGGGCTACGTCAGCCACACTTATGCAAGTGAGACTCGTCAAAATGCATAGGAAAGAATGTGCTCAGCACACTAACTTAAATATTACAAAGAACATGTTCTGCGCAGGATACCTTGATGGGAGTCGAGACTCTTGTGAAGGTGACAGCGGTGGGCCTCACGCCACTGAGTACAGGAACACGTGGTTTCTAACAGGGATCGTGAGCTGGGGTAAAGGCTGTGCGGCAATGGGCACATACGGAGTTTACACCAATGTCGTAGAATACATTGGGTGGCTAAACAATCACATGCAGAATACCTCTAGCACTGCAGTTGTACATACACCCTCTCAGAATTAAGGCCTGTTGAGTTCAATGGGATTTAATCACAGATAAATGTACACAGCATTGCAGCCTTCATTAGCACTTTCCTTGGTTTTTTTTTTGACACTTGTTTTTCAGCATTCTTCGAGCATCGTATATCAATTAAAGGCTATATACTGAATTAACACTTCCTTTTATACATTTTCACAAGTTTATTCTTCAGTATTATTTTTAACATTGCGACCAGGAAGGGAGCATACGCTGTTTATAATTGTAGTGTAATCTTTAACATTTTTCACTTACAACAAGAAAAATAAGAATTTGATTTGATTCTTGCAGTCTTAAAAGTTTCAGTACAAAAAAAAGAGTGGACATGCTTAATTCAGTTTACATAAGGCAAAGTATTTAAAGTGATAGGAGATGCTGTCTCGGCTTCGTTCCTTTCTCTCTACACGGTTTGTGAATGCTATGTACATTCCCATCCCAGCTCTTACGCTTTCAACAACTCTCCGAGGTAGGTTAGACTGAGTTAACCCATATGCACATACAGCTGATTTAAGGTACAGAGAAGAGCAACCAAAATGATCAGAGGATCACCTTGAGGCCACCTTCCCAATGAGGAGTACGGATGAAAGGATATGTCAATTATGGTTCTCTCGGTTGCTTACTCTTCCAATCTTAAATTCAGTTCTCCACATTTCTGCAACAGCTTGCGATTTAAAAAAAAATAAAATGAAAATTATTTAGCATTTTAGTGCAAATTCCTCCTAGTAACCATGCTTTTGTGTGCAGTTTTGACCTAAGGTGCACATTTTTTGCAAGCATGTTTGAATATTATTTTCACTAACGTAATTCATTTTTAGGCACCTTCACCCCTAATATATGCATTTCACTTCTCTCTTACTTTCTTGTTCAGATACTGGAAAAGGGACACCCATGACAAAATGTTTTTGGAAAGGGGGGGGGGAGAGACTTCATTAGGAACAAATTGCCCAAAAGGGTTTGTTTTGAATTTTGTTGTGAACAGAGGGCTTATTCCCGTAAATGTAATCAGCTTTTGACTTACAGACACACTTCCTCTGTGCCTAAATATCTGAGGAGAAAAGCAAGGGAAGCTGCTTTTTGAAGCATCCAAGGCACCACTTTGCCTTTACTCTGCCTCTTATGACCTTACTTGGAAAAGACCAGGATGTCTTATCATTCAGCACAATAATTTGGAGAATCCGTATCCAAACACAACCCCGTTTGTTATGTGTGATAAGAGGTGCAGCCCAGCAACAGGAAGTGTGCTGTTTGAACCTTATTCACGACTAGCCCCTGCAGTAGAACAGTGTGTTGTTTTTCCACGGATAGGCACCATGGCTAGCCAGCTGTTCCTCATTCTGATTCTCACTTCTCTGTCAAGTTTCCTGAAGGCAGAAAGAAATGGTAAGAGAGCCTTAAATCATTTCTCTGTCTCTCCTTGCAATTGCTTTCATTGATTTTGAATAAGAATTATTATTTTTCCTTTGTGTGTAGGAAGAAAGTAAGGGTCACAGATTAGGAGAAGTCTTCTCCACCGAAAGGGTCTCAGTATATTATACAGTATAACGCATCTTGTTTGCCTGTTTATGGTGTGGGAATTAATTTCTAGGCTGCATATGCACCATACTTTTAAAGCACTCCCCCCCCCCCAATAATCCTGGAAACTATAGATTACCCACCACAGAGCTACAATGCATTGAGGAACTACAGTTCCCAAAATTCTTTTCTGGAGGATGTTGCTTTCAATGTGATTTAAATGGTATGGGAAAGCACCCTGGAATATAGTTCTGTCTGTGAGATGGTAAAAATACCTTCTCTTTCAGCTACAGGGGTGATGGGAGAGAAAATGATATACATGACAAGGGAAAGAGCCCTTCATATAGCAAATAAATGTTTCGGATGAGGAAGGCAGAAACATATATCTAATACTGTTCCCAGAAAAATAAAAAGTGTGACACAGAAGGAGTTAATAAACAAGAAACGGTGAGAATGATAGTGGAAGTAATGTTTCTATGAAATGAAGAAATGCACCTAGTTTTAGTTGGGGAGGGGGGAATCATAACATTTCACAGATCAATGAAGTTGTGGCAACAAATTTAATATGCTTGTTCTCTCAAACACACCAATGTTGCTATGAACAGCATAACTTCATAAAAACTTCACATACAATATAACAAGACCCCACTGGCAATCTGGAACGATATTTTTAAACAAGTAGCTGGCTTTGGTGTTTTAAATTCCTTTTTATGTCATCAGCAAAAGCAATATAGGCTTTATGAATGTTAACACCCTGTTAGTAAACACTTGGTTGGGCATGGAAGCAAGCCATGTTAATTTAACTGTAACCCACTGTTCAGTACAGTTGCTTAGGATCACATGCAATCGGCTCAGATGAATGATGATCTGTATTTCTTCATGTGCTTTGGCTACAATGGGAACTGAAGTGGCCGATATGGGATGGGACTAGGGGCACGGAAACAATAGCATCTAGTGAAAAAGTGATGCTGCCCCATTTTGGGTCTTCATAAACCTCTTCTCAGGAGTCCTCAATGGTTGGCAGGGAATAGGTCAGGCAAAAGGTAGTATTTATTCACACCACAGGTAGTTAAAATTATGGAATTCACTGCCACACACGATGTAGTGATGGCCCACCAGTTTAGGGGACCAAACAACATGATGTTAAGTGCACCTTTGCACTTGATGTGCAACTTAAATGATGGGGGAGGTGGCTGATAAATATTAGCATAACAGCAGATGTGGAGGCAAAATAAGCCTTTCCTCAAATACCTTCTGCCTCCTCAGTGCAATTGAAAACTTTAGAGGAGGAATTTTCAGGGTGATAGGAAAAGTGAATAATTTGGGCAGTAGAAATTGAGGGATAGAGTTGAGAGGAACAAGGTATGAAAGGTGTAAGCCAGAGAAAACAGCTGGAACAGTCAAGGTAGGAGATGACCAGAGCATGAAGCTGAGGTTTTAGCTGAGATTTTGCAGATGAATCGGTAGATTTCTGCAATGATTTGGGGAGGGGGGAGAAAGAGGAAGAACCAAAGATAAGGCCAGAGCTTTGTGTTTGGCCACCAGGCTTTAGAGGCAGAGCCCAGGGAGTTAGTGAGAGAGAGAACAGAGCATCAACAGACTACAGACCCTGAAAGGAGCAAATGACAAAAAGATGGGAGTATGTGCAATTTTGAAAGCAACAAGGTGATGCCTGCAGAAAGCGACTGCTTACAAGATGTGCAGAGTGGCAATCCCAGAATAATGGGTTTTACTTCCACATCTTCGTGGCATGTAGTGAAATCCAATATGGTGGTCTAAGTAGGAATTTTGAGAATTCCTGAGACATAGACCAGGGAAGTCTCCTGATGCCTGTGTTAGCCACCCACCCTGCAACTACAGGCTATTATGCCACCTGTTTCTTCACCCCATGCTGTATGGAAAGAGAGCATCCAATGATCGTGGGAGGTTTCAGAGGGACTTTACTGCTGTAGGAGCAACTAAAGCTGTGTACACATTGCTGTTTCCTCTGGTTCCAGTGCACCCACACCACCTCCCTTTTTGATCCATGTACACATGGTGTTACCTGCCATGCAGAGTTATCCTGTAGGTTCTTGAGCAGTCCTGCTGTTTGCTGTGTTTCCCTCAAACGAGCTTTATTTCAAAAGGAAAACTTAAACTAAGCTAAGCTGAGGTGTGTGGATTTGAGACAGCCATTGTTCATGCAAGGATTACAGCACATGCACAGATGGGGAGCAGGTTGCAAGGGGTGCAAAAACCCAACAGTTAGTGTGCATCAAGTGAATACGTTCCCTCCTCCCACTCTGGTGTGTACAACAATTGCGAATGCCACTTGAATGCAGTGGGTGGGCCGGAGTGGGGATGAGCTTGCTGTTTTCAGCTGCAGAATGGGAGTGGCTTTCTCCTTTCCCCCAAGTGAAATATGAGAAGGCTGGAAGCGAAGTAAGCCAACCTCCTCTAGGGAGCAGCAGCCACCACAAGCACTGGGTGGCTTATCTTCACTCCATAGGCAAACATATGAGCCAGGCGGTCTAGCCTAAGAACTGAATCACTGTGGCCCTGTAGATGCTGCCTCATACAACATGCACATGAGACAGAAAGAGACAGAGAAAGAACCACGGTGTGCTTTCTATGACAAGCAGAGACGTGAAACCATGTGCAACATTTATCTATAAATGCAAAACAGTTTTCCGTAATGTGTTTTGAAATTTGCATACGAGACATGAGTTGGTTGTGGTTTTTTTTCTTTAGTGTTTCTACAGGATAAAAAGGCAAACAATTTTTTGGAACGAGCAAAGCGTGCCAATTCTCCTTTTGAGGAGTTTCGGCAGGGAAACATTGAAAGGGAATGCATGGAAGAGAGGTGCTCCAAGGAAGAAGCCAGAGAAGCCTTTGAAAACCAAGAGAAAACTGTAAGGATAAAGCTGGCCAATGTGTTTGCTTTGCCTTCATATGACTGCCTCTTTCTGTCCTCCGGAGCAAGATCAAAACAGGGCCGACAGCTATGTTCTACCAGCCGTGCCTTCACAGTGGAACTGTCAGCTGCATTTAACAGCTTCCTACTCCTGCAAATAGGGACACGGGTGGCGCTGTGGGTTAAACCACAGAGCCTAGGACTTGCCAACCATAAGGTTGGCGGTTCGAATCCCCACAATGGGGTGAGCTCCCGTTGCTCAGTCCCAGCTCCTGCCAACCTAGCAGTTCGAAAGCATGTCAAAGTGCAAGTAGATAAATAGGTACCTCTCCGGCGGGAAGGTAAACGGCGTTTCCATGCGCTGCTCTGGTTCGCCAGAAGCGGCTTAGTCATGCTGGCCACATGACCCGGAAGCTGTACGCCGGCTCCCTCGGCCAATAAAACAAGATGAGCGCCACAACCCCAGAGTCGGTTACGACTGGACCTAATGGTCAGGGGTCCCTTTACCTTTTTACTCCTGCAATACCCTAGCGTTCTCTCCATGTGCTACTCCTTTCCCTCTTCCTCCCTACTATTGCTTCTTCTAGCTGGAGAACAAACTGGAACCCAGCCATATCTCTCCATATCTCTCTCCCTAAGCCAGGAATGGGGAATCTGTGACTGTACAGACGTTGTTGGAATCCAACTCCCATTAGTCCCAGCCAGCAATGTCAAGGGTAAGAGATGATGGGAATTGTAGTCCATTGACATCATTCTGCAGGCTCCCCATCCCTGTCCTAGACAAAGCAGAGGAGGGGGGAATTGTGGGTAATAATAATGAAAAAGGGAGTGGACAAGCAGGAAGGGTCAAGACTGTCTGTTGATTAATACCACTCTGACATCTCTGTTGTGAAGGTGCACTCAGTAGTGTGT